ATCTGGTGGGGAGGGGACTGGTTCACCATTTGTGGAAACAAGATATTCTCTGGAGGGAACAACAGCTTCTCTAGGGAGGACAGTGAAGGAAGAAGGGGGGCCGGGGGAGGCAAAGGATGGCCGGTCCATGCTTCCTGTCAAAGTTCCCATCGTCCACCTGATGTTGGTAGAAGGCAGACCCTGGGGTGGAAGGAGAAGGTAGTGAGCAGGCAGCTGTTCACTGTTGACAGTGAAGCAAATGCTCTCCAGGGTTTTTCTGTGGACAAAATGTCCAGCCCATCCTGAGACATGAACCACGCTCCCCCCACCTGGTCAATAGATGCACAGTTCAAGGTCCTGAAGCTGAACTTTCTCACCACGCCAGCGATAAATCAGCCATTTTCACCGGCTAACAATGATTAACCCACCTCTGCCTCCACCTGCTTTCCCCAATCTGTTTTTGTAAAAAATCAACAGGGTCACTCATCGAAAAGGTGACAGTCATCCAGCCAGCCAGTGTCTACTGTCTACCCCTGAACACCTTACCCCCACTGATCACCAGGTAGGGAAAAAAAAAAAAGCAAATAAAGAAATTAAAAAAAAAAAAAGTAAAACTGTATCTTGTACAGTTTCAGCTGTCATCCTTCAGAGAAATCTACTCTGCTCAAAGCCCCAGATCCAAGCTGGGTTTTGCATGCCTGCTTTTGTGTGCAGACAAGACCCTCTCCGGTGATGACAGCTGAGTGAGGCAAGGCAGCTCCTTCAACAGCACCCAGAGCCCCACCCAGAACAGAGGACGTGGCTGTAGGTGAAGTCAGAATTTCTTTTTGGTAAGAAATGCAATTTTTGGATGAGGTGTGCGGCAAATTCTGGCTCCTTTTCCTCCTCACTTTCCTGTCGGCAAATAAACTTGTTCAAGTGAGTGAGTCAAACTTGTTCTTGGAGAAGGAGGCACCAGGACACTGGAACCAGTTGTGCTTACTTAATAACAGACTAGACTGTACTTTCTGGCCCCTTTCCTTAACGTTCCTTAATGTTCCTCCCAAACCAAGAGCCCCAAGCCTTTGAGTTTCTGTTTGTGGAGAAAGTGCCCGAGGAGTGCCCAGCTAGTGTACCTGTAAAAAAAAAATGGGGGGGGGGGCCCTCTATAATTTTCCATCTTCATTGCTTCCCAGACTTCATCTCCCCAGAGGGCATTAGTAAGTCTTGAGTCATCTCCACTGAGGACAAAATAAAAAAGAAGTCATTTATATTTGGACAAATGGATTCAGCTTTAATTTAAAGTTCTGCTTTAAATTTATTTTATTATTTTATTATTTATTATTTTATAATTATTAAGTTTCATTTAAAGGTCCACTTGACCTAACTGTCGAAGGCCTGGCCTCTCAGCCCCACCCCATTGTCAAGGTCCCTGAGAACATGGGGGTTTAACGTTGAATCCTCAGGGAGTCGCGTAAGGCGCTTTGCTCAGGAAATGTTTGTTGAGTTAAACTGGAAAACTTCTTGAAGGGGAAGCTGACAGGAGCTGCCTCTGGGAAACGCGTCTCTAAGTGATCGGATCCTCACCCAAATCTCTAGCCACTCCCATGCTTTGTCCACAATATTCACCTCAAATACCCACAAGTCCTTTGAGGATCTGAGAACTCTAATTTTCTCTCTTCAGCTTTCTAACAGACTCGGGTCCTTTGGGGCCTCATTCTTTTCTGCACACGATAAAAATTTGCTGGAGGCGGCAGGGTGGAGCTGGAGGGTGGAAAGGTAAAGACGAGTAAATGGTCTCGTGATGTACACAGTTGCTCCAAGAGGGTCCCCCTCCCTGGAGGGCAGCCTGCCAGAAGGCTGCCCAGTATGCCCTGAAAGGGTTATCAGCCCCATCATGTGTCTCTATCAACATGAACCCTCTCCCTGCGGTTCTTCCAGAAGATAGGGCTCTCCACCGGCTCCCCACCTACCGAGCACATGGTGGAGACCTAGACAGTGGCCTCTGGATATTTTGTCAAAGGATCTGCTCTGTTCACCCTCGACTCACCCCAGACCATAAAAGCTCCAGTCCCCAGGGATCACCACAATAGTTACTGAATACTTTTGAGGAGGGCTTATCTAGTAGAGGGAAGGGGCCATCTCTTTGGTTGGGGCCTCCTACCCGTGCTCTTGCAGTCCTGACAATGCAGAACACTGCCCCGCCCTCCACAACCCTGCCAACCACAAGCCCCACCGGCAGCTCCCCCACCATTAGCCACTCTCTAGCCTAGAAGTGGGGGAGAGGGGGTTGCTTGGACCAGCAGAGACAATGTGGTCAAGGTCAGTTGGAGTCAGCTTGAGCTGGGTGGGAGCCCAGGGGAGGTGGGGGTGAGACTCCAGGTCATACCTCCTGGATGACATTGTAATCATTTCCAGCATGGAATGTTGTCAACCTTTGCTACCCATTCATTAGCTCTGAGTTTCTTTTCCTTGTCCCCAATCCACTCCTTACAAGGCAATATGGACTTACCGATGGAAAATCCAAGCAGGTTTTGAAAAACTCTATTCCAACAAGCTCTGATCTTTGAAAATGTTAGTCTGTCACCTGATTCCGCCCCCAGCTCCCTTCAGAGATCTAGGTGACCCAGGTGTGTGAGGCTTTGGTCTCTGCATGGCTACAGGATGATTTCGGCTCGTGCAGGAAAGCGGGCAGCATTGTTTCTCATAACTTAGTTTCTGTTACTTCTATTTATTCCTTGTCCTTTATATATCTAGTCTCCAGGAAGTCCATTCCATTGACTTCCTGGAGATTAGGTATATAGATATATATAAAATCTCCAAATACAAATGAAAGAAAGCGCAAACCCCTCAGGGAGATGCAAATTAAAACCATAATAAAATATCACCTTACAGGGAGCCTGGCTGGCTCAGTCGGAGAAGCGTATGACTCTTGATCTCAGGGTCGTGAGATCGATCCCCATGTTGGGTTTAGAGTTTACTTAATAAATAAATATTTTTAAAAACATATATCACTGTACACCTGTCAGAATGGCTAAAATCAAAAAGACGAGAAATAACAAGTGTTGGCGAGGATGTGGTGAAGAAGGATCTCTCATGAACTGTTGGTGAGAATGTGAATTAGTAGAATCACTGTGGAAAACAGTATGGAGTTTGCTCAAAAAATTTAAAAATAGAAACACCAGAAGCATCTGGGTGGCTCAGTCGGTTAAGTGTCTGCCTTTGGCTCAGGTCATGATCCCGGAGTCCTGGGGATCGAGCCCCATGGTGGGCTCCCTGCTTAGCAAGGGGTCTGCTTCTCCCTCTGCCTCTGCTGCTCCCCTGCTCACTCTCTCTCAAATCAATAAATAAAATCTTTTTAAAAATTAGAACTACTGGGCACCTGGGTGGCTCAGTGGTTAAAGCCTCTGCCTTCGGCTCAGGTCATGATCTCAGGGTCCTGGGATCGAGTCCCGCATCGGGCTCTCTGCTCAGCAGTGAGCCTGCCTCCTCCTGTCTCTCTCTGCCTGCCTCTCTGCCTACTTGTGATCTGTCTGTCAAATAAATTAAAAAAAAAAATTAGAACTACTGCATGACCCAGTAATCCACTTCTGGGCATTTACCCAAAGAAAAAAAAAACACTAGTTCAAAAAGATATATACATTCTTCTGTTTATTGCAGCGTTATTTACAATAGCCAAGATATGGAAGCAAACCAACCATCTATCCATAGATAAATGGATAAAGAAGAGATGGTGTCCATATAGAGATAAGAATAGACACACACATGTGCACACATACACACACACACACACACACACAGAGGAATATTACTCAATCATAAAAAAGGGTGAGGTTTTTGTCATTTGTGACAACACAGATGGACCCAGGAGGGATTATGCTGAGTGAAATAAGTCAGACTAAGAAATACAAATATATCACACGATTTCACTTATATATGGAATCTTAAAAAAAAAGAAAGAAAGAAATGAATAAACACGAAAAGCAGAATCAAACCAATAAATACAGAGAATAAACTGATGGTTGCCAGAGGGAAGGAAGGGGGGAGGAGGGGCAAAATGGGGGAAGGAGAGTGGGAGATACAGGCTTCCAGACCTCATGGGATGAATAAGTCACCATGATGAAAGGTACAACGCAGGGAATACAGTCAATGGTATTGAAACAGTGTTGCACAGTGACGTTGCATGGTGACAAGCATAGCACAATGTGTAGAGATGTCCAATTGCTATGTTATACACCTGAAACTGATGCAACATTGTATATCAGCTACATTCAAATACATTTAAAAAAAAAAAACAGGAGCCCTTTCCGGAGTCCCCAGTCACCAGCTTGCTGGTGTTTTTACGAAGAACTACATAGTCAGCACATTGTTTTTGCATGAACACACATTCATTCTACTGCTTAAACTTGTCTGTTAAAACCCCAAAGGTCCCGACCTGAAGGACATTAAGGGAATTAATCAGTGCATTCAAAGATGATTATTTCCTGGCCGTAAGAGCTACCGAGACAACCCTGGGAAGAGGGTTTGAGCTCCCAGACCAGGGGCCCTTCAGAGATCCCTCTGCAGATAAAAGAGGCCCAGCAAGGTGATGGTTCCCCGGACGATAGAACTTACCACATTTTAAAAGGAATATTCTTAAAACATGATAGCTAGAACACCAAGACTTGTCTTTGTCTTCAAATAAGTGCACTTGCAGACAGGAAATCTCTACAAGAACCAGGGCAGATGTAGACTCTGTCCTGGGTCCCTGGGCTGGCTTCGGAGCCAGAGGGCAGCCCTAGCCCAAGCAGCGTGCCAAAGTTAATAATTGGCCTGGCCGAGTACATGGCAGATCAGGCTGTTTTTGTGTGCCCGTTTTTCTATTTTACGTAAATCACCCCGGACATGTTTGCATCAACCTACCGGTGATGCACCTTTGATCAATAGATTTTAGACAAAAGTGGTTTTTGAGTCCAAAGATCAGGGCTGGGTTGACCTGCAGGGCAGATCCAGGGTGTATAAAAACAGGGGCAAGGCGCGGGCTGATAGAAGAGTAATCACCACCAAGTCCGTCATCGCAGCAAGGGCTCAGCTGAAGGCTGCCCTAGGCGTCTGGAGTGAGGATGCAGCAAGGAATGAATGCCCTTCATGACTTTGGGATCCAGTCAACGCACTACCTCCAGGTGAATTACCAGGACTCTCAGGATTGGTTCATCTTGGTGTCCATGATCGCAGACCTCAGGAACGCCTTCTATGTCCTCTTCCCCATCTGGTTCCATCTCCGTGAAGCTGTGGGCATCAAGCTCCTCTGGGTAGCGGTGATTGGAGACTGGCTCAACCTCGTCTTTAAGTGGTGAGTAAGAGCCAGACAGAGAGGAGATCGGCAAGGGAAGAGGCTGGCATTCTCTCTGGAAATGTCTGTCCATTGGAAGTTGCCTTCTCCGTGCTATTCGGGAAGACACAGGCTACTCCCCTCCCAACTTTGGATCATCTACTTAAAGAGGGAAGACAGAGAAAACCCTGTCCATGAGTTGAAGACACAGGCAAGGCTATTTCATGTGGATGGAAGGCCAGCTGTTCGACTTAGTGAAAAGGCTGACGTATAGGTTATAAGTGAAGAAGTCCAGTTTTATTACTTTGAAGCAGGATAGGTAACATAAAGATAGATGGATGAAAGATGGTGTATGAAAACAGGAAACGTGTTGGTAACTTAAAATCCATGGCATGGATGGGGCGCCTGGGTGGCTCAGAGGGTTAAAGCCTCTGCCTTCGGCTCAGATCATGATCCCAGGGTCCTGGGATCGAGCCCCACATCGAGCTCCCTGCTCAGCAGGGAACCTGCTTCCCCTCCTCTCTCTCTGACTGCCTCTCTTCCTACTTGTGATCTCTGTCAAGTAAATAAATAAAATCTTAAAAAAAAAATCCATTGGATAGAAAAATGAGAAGCAACCCAGAGAACTGGGCTCCAACCCTCGTTCAGCCACCCACCAGCTTTACATCCTGGGCAAATCAAAACCACTCTCTGAGTTTCTGTTTTATAATCTGTAAACTTAGGTTATCTCTGGGACCTTAATAATAATTCTAGTTAACATTTATTGAACTTTTAATAGGTACTAGGCCATGTGCCAAGAGCTTTGCTGTGGGGTTATTGCTACAATATAACAGATGAAGAGACAGAGGCATTGAGATAAGCAACCACAGCTCGATCAACATGGTGGTCAAAGGCAGAGGCAGCATTGAAGCCTAGGCAGGCTGATTTCAGAGGCAAGGTTCTTAAGAACTAGGTTATAGTCAATGCTGATGAAGTGACTCTCTCAGGGGGCAGGTGGTAGTCCTAATTTTAGCATTTGTCAATTTCTCCATCTTTGTATTCCCCTTGGGGCCACTTTCAATCTACTGATGGGTCATGCTTGCAGAAATTCTACATCTTTTACAGTGGTTGGCCAGTACCAGTTGACTCCAGCACATGACTGGTTTGGCCTCTATTTCCACATCTAGAAAATAAAGAGCTTGGGCCAGCTAAGACCTTTACCATCCCTAAATTATCTATGTCTACTCTCAAGTGATTCTGAAGATGCTTCTAAGTCTAATATTCTTTGGCCATAAACAATAAATGTCTTTTAGTATCCAAAAAAATTTGTCATGGCGTTGAGAGGACCAAGGTTTATCAATGTGGTTCTGAAACTTCTGTTGAAAGGTTGAAGAACTAAATGTTGTCTGTAATGCCTCCTATTCAGCAGCATGACCCTAAAAAGTAAACAGGTAAAGGGTTATTTTAAACATCTGATCTCAGTTGAAGAACCATGGATTTTCTCTTGAGTTGGCAGAGGTCAGAGTTAGTGGCTATCTCTGATGTCGGTGAAAAATCACTATTCCAGTCCTGGAAGGGCTGAACCTTGACACCTGTTTCCACAATGAAAAGCATATCTAGTACTTTATCTAGTACTTTTAAAAGGGAAGTGGTTTGGGGCGCCTGGGTGGCTCAGTGGGTTAAGTAAGCCTCTACCTTCGGCTCAGGTCATGATCCCAGGGTCCTGGGATGGAGCCCCGCATCGGGCTCTCTGCTCATCAGGGAGCCTGCTTCCTCCTCTCTCTCTGCCTGCCTCTCTGCCTACTTGTGATCTCTCTCTCTTAAAAAAAAAAAAAATAATAATAATAATAATAAAGGGGAAGTGGTTTGTCTGGGCTGTACCCTCTTCCAAGGCAGAGAGATTACAAAGTAAGGGCCCGAAGCTATCTCTGTCCTTACAGAGAGCAATTCTTATGGCAAGGAGGCCACATCTCCTGAGGGTGACTGTCCCTGGGGCCCAGGCACATTCTCTGATGTCGGAGGAAACCCAAGACTCCCTGAGACCTGACGGAAGAGCATAGGGACCTGGCAGGATTTGCAAGTCCAAGGTGCAAACTGTGGTTCTTTTTTTTTTTTTTTTAAGATTTTATTTATTTATTTATTTGACAGAGATCACAAGTAGGCAGAGAGGCAGGCAGAGAGAGTGGGAAGCAGTCTCCCCGCTGAGCAGAGAGCCCATGCGGAGCTCAATCCCAGGACCCTGAGATCACGACCTGAGCAGAAGGCAGAGGCTTGACTCACTGAGCCACCCAGGCGTCCCGCAAACTGTAGTTCTGTATGTGTCCTTCCGGGACCAATTCTTCCTGGGGTTTAAAAAAAGTCACAGAGCTTCCATTAATATGGATTTTTAGGATCTCGGGTTTATTTCTGTTTGAGTAAATAATTCTTTCGAGTCATTCCAAATTCAAAAGTTATATAAAGGATGTACCAGGAAAAAGTCTCCCTCTCCTACCACTCACCAGCCACCCCAATCCCCTTCTTGGAGGCAGCCAAAGCTAATAGTTTTCTGTTTCGGATCACATGAATCTTCTCACACTACTCCCTTTTCCCCAAGGTGTGGGCTTCAGGCAAAAGGGTTCCTTCAGTAACTCCAGACGCTGTTTCTTCTTTTTCACAGGATTCTGTTTGGACAGCGTCCATACTGGTGGGTCATGGACACAGATTACTACCGCAACACCTCCGTGCCGCTGATAAAGCAGTTTCCAGTCACCTGTGAGACTGGACCAGGTGAGAGTCCCCGCCCCGGTAGAGACAGAAGCTGGGTGGACCTTGCTCACGGTGGCCACCTCTCAGCAGTCAGTGTAGACGAAGCTGTCTTTGAGGGGACGGGAGGAGGACAGCTCCTTCAAGCTTTAGTTGGTCTTCAGTTGGGTACAACTCCATGTTAATTTAATTCAAGGAGGCCCCCTGAAGAGCACATCTCTGCTGATTTAGAAATCTGCCTAATGTTTCCAGAACCTGAATGGCTAGTCCAGAGAGGCAAGGGTATTCTTATAGGCAAAGGGCTCATGAGAGTAATGGCATTGTGGACCTTCGTCCGGGGAGAGAAAGCAGGAGAAGGCTAAGCCCCTGGCTTGTTCTTCCCCAAGGACCAGCCAAGTAGAGGTATCTTCCTGAACTGACTGTCCAATCCCACGCCATGTTTGTGCTTTTTTTTTTTAAGATTTTATTTATTTATTCGACAGACAGAGATCACAAGTAGGCAGAGAGGCAGGCAGAGAGAGTGGGAAGAAGGCTCCCCGCTGAGCAGAGAGCCCCATGCGGGGCTCGATCCCAGAACCCTGAGATCATGACCTGAGCCGAAGGCAGAGTCTTTAACCCACTGAGCCACCCAGGCACCCCATGTTTGTGCTTTACTAGACACAACCAAACAGTTCTTATGCAACCCAATGATAGATTAGATTTCCTTTTTTGGTAGGCAATGGACTATCCAACCGCTTCACTCACCCTTAAGTCTTGGTGCCAGCATCCCTTCCTCAGGGGCCCATCCCTAACTCCCAAACTAGGGCATGGCCCTCAGTTATTTCTTCTCGCAAACCCTTTGCTCACTTCAGAGCATATTCATTCACTTTATTTATTTGTTTATTTATTTACTTTATTTAAATTTTTAAAAATTTCATTTTATTTAAATTTTATTTATTGAGCACCTACACCATGCCAGACATTGTTCTAAGTACTTGGAGTACCTTCAGTGAATAAAAAAGACAAAGATCGCTGTCCTTGTGCAGCTGAAGTTTGAATGGTGTGTGTGTGTGTGTGTGTGTGCACATGCACGCACAATATACACAATCATATTTCATGAGTAAAAGATAAAGGATTTTAGAAGAAGAGGAAGATGAATAGGAGGAGGAGGAGAGGAGGAAGAAGGAGCAAAGGAGGAGGAGGAGGAGAAAAGGAAAGGCAAGGCGTTAATCTCTGGGATGCCCTGGCAAGCAGACTCAGATGTAGACTAGCATGCAAGAGTCCATGTGTTGAATGTGGGAGGAACCCAGTTGGTCAGAGAGAGGGAGCACAAGCAGGGGGAGCGACAGAGGGAGAGGTAGAAGCAGGCTCCCCACTGAGCAGGAGCCCCATGAGGGGCTCAATCCCAGGACCCTGGGATCATGACCTGAGCTGAAATCAGACGCTTAACTAACTGAGCCACCCAGGCACCCCTAGATATTTGTTTGATAAATGACTAAAGGGATGAATGGGTGGATGGCAGGATTGGTGGATGGATGGATGAAAGGTTGGAAATATGGGTGGTGGATGGACAGATAGTTGGATGGATAGATGGATAGAAATATGGGTGGGTGGATGGATGGATGGATAGAGGACAAGCCCTAGCAGTGTCCCAGATGGAGACTTTTTTTTTTTAAGATTTTATTTATTTGACAGAGAGAGACATCGAGAGAGTGAACACAAACAGGGGCAGAGGGAGAGAGAGAGGGAAAAGCAGGTTTCCTACTGAACAGGGAGCCTGATGTGGGGCTCGATCCCAGGACCCTGGGATCATGACCTGAGCCAAAGGCAGACGCATAATGACAGAGGCCCCCAGGAGCCCCTAGGTGGAGACTTTTTACCTTTAGTTCATCCATTCCTCTCTTCCCTACTCTTTAGGGAGTCCCTCTGGTCATGCCATGGGCACAGCGGGTGTATACTACGTGATGGTCACATCCACCCTCGCTATCTTCCGGGGAAAGAAAAAGCCAACCTACAGATTTCGGTAAGAACTCAGCACTGGGGACTGGAGGGTGGAGGGCAGGAGGTGACTGTCTCTGTAAATGGACATACCACTTGCTCTTCCCCACATTCCACACCACTGGCCCACCCCGCCTTGGGCTGGTAGTGAACCGAGTGGTGGCATTTCTGCTGAGGGCAAGCATGAAGGTCACAGGATGTCAGGGCTGGAAGGGACCTACAAGCACAACCCCTCCCTTTACAGATAAGGAAACAAGGCCCAACACAGTAACGGGGACTTCTCAAGTCCAGACAGCGTCCTACTAGCGGGGTTTAAATAAAAACCCACTTCTGTACCAACCAAAGAGTCGCCTTGTCCAGGATGAAAAACAAAGGCACATAAGACATTCCTACTACAGAGTTCTGAGCCCACAGCCACTGTGGAAATGGTTAATTATCACACACACATAAAATAGGGGAGCTTAACGTTCACGTGTGCAAGCGTTCACCACGTGACACGGGCATCTCCGAGCTTTGGAGTACGGGCTTCGAATTTATAAAAATTCCGCGGACAGCGCCTCAGTTGGCCAGGCTCTGGCGTTCCTGCCAGGGCTGTCCTCGCTACGGGATGCGTACCCGGGTGCTGTCTGACCACCTCTCCTCTTGCAGGTGCTTGAACGTCGCTTTGTGGTTGGGATTCTGGGCCGTGCAGCTGAATGTCTGTCTGTCCCGAATCTACCTCGCCGCTCATTTTCCCCACCAGGTTGTTGCCGGAGTCCTGTCAGGTATCAGCTGCTCTGGCTTTCTCCCTTCCCGTCCCTCCTATCCCGTGTCTCCCCAACTGGGACAAAATCCCAGCATGCCAGTTGTGCTCTGGGTGTCATCAATGCTGTTAGCGTTTCAGCGGGCTGAGTGGGTGGGGAAACTCTTCATTTCTACAGGAGTGCCCAGATGTACGCAATTCAAAGTGTTTCAGAAAAGTTGCAATACGTCAAGTTCATTTACTCAATTGAATTAGCTGGAAATTTCCTTTTCATATTCTTTATCTCTTACTGATCTTCAGCTGGAAACTGCCCCCTCGTTCTGTTGTTGGTTTTTTTTTTTTTTAAGATTTTATTTCTTTATTTAGAGAGAGAGTAGGGAAAGGGCAGAGGGAGAGGGGGAAAAAAACCTAAGACAGACTCCGCACTGAGAATGAAGCCAGATATGGGGTTCAGTCTCAGGATCCTGAGATCATGACCTGAGCTGAAATCAAGAGTGGGATGCCTAACTGACTGAGCCACCCAGGCGCCCAGGTCCTTACTTTAGTTTTAAGGGAATCTACCAAATTTAACAAATGAACAGGGTCCTAGAAAAGCTCTTTATTTGGGTAAATCAATTTTCAAACCCACAGTTGGTCTTTCTTATAGGACCAGAGTTTTGAATACAGTTGATAACTGAACAACACAGGGGTTAGGAGCACTGACCCTCTATGTACTCGAAAATCCACATATACCTCTGACTCTCCCAAAACTTACTTATGAATAGTCTAGTGTTAGCTGGAAGCCTTACCGATAACATAAACAGTCAATTAACACATATTTTGTATATTATATGTATTATACCCTGTATTCTTACAATAAAGCAAGCGAGAGAAAGAAAATGTTATTCAGAAAATCATCAGGAGCAGGGGTACCTGAGTGGCTCAGTTAGTTAAGAGTCTGCCTCTGGCTCAGGTCCTGATCTCAGAGTCGTGGGATCGAGCCCCACGTGGGGCTCCCTGCTCAGCGGGGAGTGTGCTTCTCTCTTTGCCCCACTTCCTGCTCATGCTACCTGGCACTCTCTCTCTCACTCTCTCTCAAATAAATAAATAATATCTTAAAAAAAAAAACAGAAAATCAGCAGGAAGAGATAATACATTTACAGGGATCTACTGTAGTCATCAAAAAAAATCTGCGTATAAGTAGACCCACCTAGTTCAAACTCATGTTGTTCAAGGGTCAACTATACTTGTGTTGTCTTAGATCCCATTTATAAGGGGCTGAAAAGACTTAGGTTAAGTGTAAGAAAGACTTTCTTTACATTGTGGGAGGTCCTGGAATATAAGACCTTAAGGACATTGTAAAATCTCCCCCCTGGAGATGGGTGAGAGCAGAACACAGTAGCATTACAAGAAGAGTGTGGAGTCCAAGGGAGATGAGGGTTTCACAACAACCACAGAAGTAAGGCAGCCTACTGGGTGCCCTGTTTGAGAAGGAGCCTGAAAGCCATGTTACATGAAAGACCTGAGAAGGTATAGGTTAGAGATAAGAATAATTGTCTTCACATGCATTTTCTACAGAGGTTCTAGATTTACAACTTCACTCCTACAGAAATAACTGAGACCAACAGATGGGATGGGGGCGGCGGGGACACAAGGCAGATTTTTTGATAATTCATTCAAAGATGAAATGGGCTGCCCAAGTGGGAGTGAGGTCTCTACCCCTGCGGGTATTCAAGTAGAAACATGAGGGCCCCGACAGGAAGCACGAGTGCAGTGAAAGAATGTATGCGACATGCCTCTTCCGTCTTCCCATCCACCTACGTATGGGAATAAAACAGGTGACGCTCTAATCTGGCACCTGAGATTTAATGTCACAATGGCAGGATGGATGGCAGGTCATCCATGGCTCCGAACCCACCCCCCACTGCCCCGATAGCTGAAGGGCTGGAGTCTTCCCTACTTCTCACAGCCATTCTTTCTCCCACGCAGGCATTGCTGTGGCTGAAACTTTCCGCCACATCCAGAGCATCTACAACGCCAGCCTCAAGAAGTACTTCCTCGTCACCTTCTTCCTGTTCGGTTTTGCCATTGGATTTTACCTGCTGCTCAAGGAGCTGGGCGTAGACCTCCTATGGACACTAGAAAAAGCCAAGAGATGGTGCCAGCGGCCGGAATGGGTCCACATTGACACCACACCCTTCGCCAGCCTCCTCAAGAACGTGGGGACCCTCTTCGGCCTGGGGCTGGCTCTCAACTCCAGCATGTACAGGGAGAGCTGCAAGGGCAAGTTCAGCAAATGGTTCCCGTTCCGCCTCTGCTGCATCGTGGCCTCTCTCATCCTCCTGCACCTCTTTGACTCCCTGAAGCCCCCATCCCAAGTGGAGCTGATCTTCTACGTCCTGTCCTTCTGCAAGAGTGCGGCCGTGCCCCTGGCATCTGTCAGCCTCATCCCTTACTGCCTTGCCCGGGTCCTGGGCCAGCCGGACAAGAAGTCTTTGTAAGGGCCTCGGAGCCTACAGAGTTCAAGGTCAACTACTGACCGACCGTGCCAACCTCTGAGGGAGGCTAGGGTCTTCTGCCAGCCCAGAGGCCAGAGGTGCTAGAGTCAGCCCGGGGACCGCTCCCTCCTTTGCAATTCTAATTGTATTGGGTGGGGGGGTTTTTGGAAAGCAAATAAGGCTAGTTGAGAAAGCCTTATCTTTTAGGAGTTGGGTCCTTCTGGATTTTTCCCTGAAGACTTACTTGCTCTTCTTTGAGATAACGTGAAAGCAAGACTTCAAGGTAGGGCCTGCTCGCCACCCAGGCTGGGGATCTCAACTGAGAATTTTCTACCTGTCCCCATCCTTACGCAGAAAAGGGAAAGGAGATAGGAGCAGTGGACTTGACAGAGAAAGAAGGATGATGGGTTAAGGAAGACTTTTTCATATCCTGCACATCTTGTAAATTATGTTACACAATATCTAAATGGCTTTGATTATATTTGAGTCTTTAGGTAAGGCACTCTTAATAATGGGGGGCCAACTTAGAGTATAATTAATGGGTAATTAGTGGGGTAATTCTGCTTCTTATATTTTTCTGTTATATATCCATGGTCTTTGCATTTACTGGGATTCCCGAATGGCTGCAGTAACCTTGATTTGTACGGGGTCAGAGCATTCAGATATAATCAATTTCTCCTCTATCACACTAGATCTCCCTCCTTGTTAGCCCAGCTCTGCTTTCCCTAGAATTTTCCACTGGCTCCACATCCTGTCAGATACAGAGATGCCTAAAAGCAGCTCTGGGGCAGTGCTTGTGTATGGTTTAGTTAAACTCTGAAATCTTGGACAAAAAAGCGAGGAGAGGGCAAGGAGAGGCAAGGAATCCTCTCCCCAGAAGGTCACTCCAATGTTACTTTTGATTCTTACAGGGTAAATATGACTCCTTTCTCTATCCCAAGACAACCAAAAGCACATTCTTAGAGGAAAAGCCAGCTTTCCCTTGCCTGTTCTTAAGTCTCAGCTGATTCGCAGAATATGTCTTAAAAAGAATGTTTAAGCCTATTTATTTGAGAGTCCTTGTTTTTGCTACTAATTATACAGTTCACCATATATTACCATTCACACCAGCCATCCTGGTCATAACATCTTTGAAAAGAAAAATATATATGTGCAGTATTTTATTAAAACAACATTTTATTTAAGAACGAAGTCTTGCTGATTACTGTATTTTAGATGCAATTCGATCTGAAGGTTCTAATTCTGGCTTGGCTAAATTTCTAGCTCTTTTTCTATTTCCCTAAACAAATCATTTAGTCTCCGTGTACCTATATTTTCCCTTTGGAGAAAGAGAGTCTTGGGCTGGCCAGGAATGCCCGTGGAGCTGGGGGGACTACAAAGTGTCCACGGGGTCACAGATAGTGTGGAGGGCATCGAGGCAGGCACAATATCATCGGCCAAGATTGAACATGAGTTACCAGACCCCAGGTCAGCATGAGTGGCTCGAAGGGATCAAGCTGCAACTTAAAGACAAATACACAGGGTCATTAACCAAACTAAGCAATCAGGGAATGTAAGTCACAGCAGCAGAAAAGACCGGGTAGACTCTGGAATCCAGGAAGCCGGTATCAGCAAGGTTTGGGGTTATGGTTAAAGAAAGTCAAAACAGGGGCCCCTGGGGGTGTCTCAGTGGGTTAAAGCCTCTGCCTTCGGCTCAGGTCATGATATCAGGGTCCCCGGATTGAGCCCCACATCGGGCTTTCTGCTTGGCGGGAAGTCTGCTCCCGCCTTCCTTCTCTCTGCCTGCCTCTCTGCCTACTTGTGATCTCTGTCTGTCAAATAAATAAATAAAATCTTAAAAAAAAAAAAAAGTCAAAACAGAGCGAGTATTAGCAACACGGAAACCTCAAGGGAACTCTTGAAGTTTTCTCCCCAAATGATTCATTTCATCCTGGGTGCAGGGGCACCCCCTCCAAAGGCATAGCCCTGGATCTAGGAAGACACCTGCTCACTCCCTTCAGAACTTTGGAACATGTGTCTTCTGGAAAGTTGAGTCTTCCTTCTGGATTTGGGTTCTTCAGGGGGCATGTGGCCCCTCGGAGACTCTACTGGCCTTCCAGAGGGAGAAGGGAAATGGTCTTGTTCTGTCTAAACTGAGCCCCATTGCTCCGGCCTGACCCCTGTCCTTGATGATTAATTTGTTCTCAGGGACCAGGTCCAGGTTCCTCGCAATAAGACTCTGGCAGAAAGTGAGTAGTTCCCCTGCCCTTGGCAGTTGGTAAGGTCGATGGGGACACAGAATAAATCAAATTTACTGAGTACTTCTTCTATGCCAAGCTCTGTTCTCTGCATTTGATTTATTCATACAACTAATTCACTTAATTCTCCCAAGGTGGGGGCTGTAATTTATCCATAGACATTACATATGAATAAGAACAGAGGAGATAGGTATCTTGCCCAGAATGGTGAAGCCAGTTTAAGAACCAAGCAGCCTGGGGCACCTGGCTGGCTCAGTGGGTTAAAGCCTCTGCCTTTGGCTCGGGTCGTGATCCCAGAGTCCTGGGATCGAGCCCCGCATTGGACTCTCTGCTTAGCGGGGAGCCTGCTTCCTCCTCTCTCTCTCTGCCTGCCTCTCTGCCTACTTGTGGTCTCTGTCTGTCAAATAAATAAATAAAATCTTAAAAAAAAAAAAAAAAAAAGAACCAAGCAGCCTGATTCCAGAGTCCACATGCCCCCACCCGTAGCCCCTCCCGGGGATGGATGCCAGTAATCCTGGCGGCTCTTTCCAGGTGGCTCGGCCCGGTAGAGCATGCAACTCGGATCTCAGCATCCTTAGTTCAAGCCCCACATTGGGTGTAGAGCGCGTTAAAATTAAAAAATTAAAAAAAAACAAAACAAAACAAAACAAAACACTGGCGGCTGTTTCAAACCATCCTTCAGATGCCAGATACAACTTTAAATTCAGCCCAGAGAGAATTTGTTTTCTTGCAGCTGAAGGAATTATTAAACTTTGAGTGATCCTCCCAGGGAGCTGGTCTTAGTTTCTAAGTAGGAAGACACCATATTTCAAAGGCAGTTTTACAAAATAACTATTAGAACAGGGATAACCATATTAGTTTAACTTGAGCTCTTTCTTTCTTTAAAAAAAAAAGAGTTTAAAAGTCACGCTCAGAGTATCTGGGTCAGAGAGGAAGTAACTTAGTTTCTACAGTGAAGGTAAAATGAGAAGACAGAATTACCACAAAGAACTGTGGGTACTGGGGCATCTGGGTGGCTCAGTCAGTTAAGCATCTGCCTTTGGCTCAGGTCATGATCCCAGGGTGCTAGGATCGAGTCCTGTGTTGGGATCCTTGCTCAGCAGGGAGCCTGCTTCTCCCTCTGCCTGCTGCTCCCTCACAGACAGACTATAGGCTGAGGGGTTTTGTTTTTAACAGTATTTATAATCGGTTTTAAAAAGGTATGACAACTTTATTGAGATATAATTCACATATCATACAATTCACCCATTTTTTCTTTAAGATTTTCCTTATTTGACACAGAGAGAGAGCGAGCATAAGCAGGAGTGGCAGAGGGAGAGGGAGAAGCAGGCTCCCCACTGAGCAGGGAATTATACAATAGGTGACCTTTTGTGTCTGCTTCTTTCCCTTAGCATGATGTCTTCAAGGTTCATTGGTGTTTTAATAACATATATTAGTACTACATTCCTTTTTATGGCCAGATAATACTCCACTGTACGGATATACTAAATGTTATTTATGATATCTGGGTTGCCTCCACACTTTGGCTATTATGAATAATACTGCTATGAATGCTTGTGTACAAATTTTTGCACGGATGCATGATTTCCTTTCTCTTGGGTATGGACATAGGAGTGGGCCTACTGTATCATATGGTTACTCTGTGTTTGACCCTTCAAGGAAATGCCAGACTGTTTTCCCAAAGGTTTAGCAAGGACGAGTTTTAGAGTGTTTTTCGTTCTGCCATCTCTTTCGACTGCCTAGAAGCATACCCTGTCCGATAGCTTTGTCTAATTCCTTACCTTGGAAGAGATTCGCAGCAGGATGGAAGAGGGGCTCAGGTTTCACAGGATGAACTGTCAGTGAGCTCCTGCTACTTTCATAAAGCCATGGCTTTACTCCATTGTTCCAAAGTGCATTCCAAGAGCACTTCATTGAAGCATGTCTGGATATTTGAAGTTCTAGCCCTATTCAACTGACTGGCTGTAACCTGTCAAAATTTGTTGACCTGTTTTCTGAACAGCATTCCTTTAGCTGCTGAATTATTAATATGTATTGATTTCATTCCATAGTAATTGCCAAACTAGGACCGATGCATTTAAGGCTGGGATGTGTTAAATAAAATAGAACAACATCACTTGTACCCAAGGGTTCTTTAAGAGCCTCTTGAGAAAGGAAAACACACCGGCCAAATAGCCTTCAGATGATGTTGTTAAGAAAAGAATGTACTTGGGGCGCCTGGGTGGCTCAGTGGGTTAAGCCTCTGCCTTCGGTTTGGGTCATGATCCCAGGGTCCTGGGATCAAGTCTCCCATCGGGAGTCCCTGCTCAGCGGGAAGCCTGCTTCTCCCTCTCCCACTCCTCCTGCTTGTGTTCCCTCTCTCGCTGTGTCTCTCTCTGTCAAATATATAAAATCTTAAAAAAAAAAAAGAAAGAAAAGAATGGACTAGAAATGGAACGAAGCAGCAACCGACAAAGTCGCTTCCATTAGAGAACCAAGAACCTAATTAATCTGGAAGAGAAACTAGCAATTGTCTAGTTCAATGATGGGTGACCCAAAACCCAAAATCTAACTGCAGAATGAAGATTAAAAAGCTGCCTCTGGAACAAACAAACAAAAAAAAAAACAGAAACCCATAAATATAGAGAACAAACTGGTGGTTGGCAGAGGGGTGAGGGGTGGAGGGATGGGTAAAATGGGTGAAGGGGAGTAAGAGACACAGGCTTCCAGTTACGGACTCTTAAGTCCCTGGGATGAAAGGTACAGCACAGTGAATACAGTCCATGGTGTTACAATAGTGTTTTATGGACACAGACAGTGGCTACACGTGCAGTAACCAGAGCACCGATGTATAGAGATACTGAATCACTATGTGTACACCTGGAACTCATGCGACATTGTGTCTCAGCTATTCTGCAATAAAAAATAATAAAGAAAGAAAAATAAAAAGCTGCCTTGGGGTCGCTGCTTCATCATAAAAAAGAAAAAAGCCTATAAATATTTTTATTTTTTCTGAACTGGCCCTTATTTAAAAAAAAAAAAAAAAGCTGCTCACTCTTAGTCCCATTCAAAAATTTATTTCACAGATACAGAAATTAAGGCCTGGAGAAGTAAAAGAGCTCATCTAAGTTATATAAGTAACCTGTCCTCAGGTCTCCTGGTTCTTAGCGGAGAGCAGCCTCTCCTTTGCCTGTCTCCTGTGTGTTAACACGCAGCTGTTGAAACAGAAGTGAACACAGAGCCAGTGTATCTGAACCAGAACCAGGGTTGTTAACCCCATGAGAGCCGCAGCTACAAGAACCATGTTCAAAGGTTGTTTTTAAAGTTTTTTTTTAAAGATTTTATTTATTTAAGAGAGTGAGCAAGAGAGAGAGAGAGAATGAGCAGGGGCGAGAGGCAGAGGAACACGGAGAAACAGACTCCCCACTGAGCAAGGACCCCCCCCTCCCCCGCCCCCACCAATGCTGGTCTTGATGCCAGGACCTGAGATAGCCACCTAAGCCCCCCAGGAGTCCATCAAGGTGGCCTGTTCTTAATTATGTTATGTGCTCCTCTCTGCCTTTGCTCTCAACAATCTTTCCAGGGCAGAAGTGTAATTAAAACAAGAAGCAGGGGCGCCTGGGTGGCTCAGTGGGTTAAGCCTCTGCCCTCGGCTCAGGTCATCATCTCAGGGTCCTGGGATCGAGACCCGAGTCAGGCTCTCTACTCAGTGGGGAGCCTGCTTCCCCCTCTCTCTCTGCCTACTT